TATACATGTTATTCAAGCCTGCTACCTTTTGTCCAAGGAGCCCTGGTGGTGCAGCATTTAAGTGCGCTAGGCTGCCAACTGAAAGGTTGGTAGTTCAAACCCACCCAGCAGCTCCGCAGGAGGAAGATCTGGCAATCTGTTCCTGTAAAGATTACAGCTTAGAAAATTCCATGAGGCAGTTCTACTCTGTCACATGGGGCTACTATGAGTTGAAATCAACTTGGCACCTAACAACAACAACAACCTTTTCTCCAAAGGGTCCAAGGTTGCTCTCCCCCAAGGACAGTTTCCACCCATTAGCAAGTATGACTCTTCACCTGCCTTCTTTCCTTAAGGGATGTCCGGAGTGCTCAGCAGGTTTTCATGATTTTCGTTTATCTGCGAATCTATGCTGGATCATAAAACAAGTTTAGTTGTAATCCCTATATTATACTTACTCCATACTTAAGAAATATTATGTTAACCCACTGAGGTTTTTCAAAGTAAAAATTTGTTGGTATTATTTTAGCATTAGAGAACATTAGTGGTTCAGGGGCAGAATTCTCACTTTCCACATAGCAGGCCCAGGTTCAATTCCTGGCCAATATACCACATGTGCTGCCAGTACCTATCTGTCACTGGGAGCTTGTGTGTTGCTATGATGCTGAGCAGGTTTCAGTGGAGCTTCCAGATAAGATAGACCAGGAAGAAAGGCCTGTAATTTACTTTTGAAAATCAGCCAGTGAAAACCCTGGTTCACAACAGTCCAATCACGTTGTGCATGGGGTCACCCTGAGTCCATGGCCAACTCAATGGAAGCTAACAACAACATTCCAGCATTTCTCACTGAGTGTTAAATATCAGGCTGAAGGTAAGACACCTAAAACATCCACTCTTTTTATTCTTCCTCTCATTCTGTGGCTTAGAAGCTGAGAATCAAGAACCATGTGATGAGGCCAGAGTGCTGTCTCTTTTAGACATATCTACAGGGTTCAGGGCCACGCAGTGTCATAATTGAGAGGCTGCAATTCTCAAGCTCCAACTGAGAATGACATTAAATCAATCACAAGGGGTTGACTGATCCTTAGGAAAAGAGCTTAACTAGTTGTGAAATAAATAGAGAACTAGGTTGTTATGGACTGAATTGTGTCCCCCCAAAATATATGTTGAAGTCCTAATCCCCACTACCTGTGAATATGACTGTTACAGATTGAATTATGCCCCCCCCCCCAAAATATGTGTTATAAATCCTAACCTCTATGCCTGTGGTTTGGAGCACAGGTGGCTCAGTGGTTAAGAGCTCAGCTCACAAACAAAAGGTCAGCAGTTTGAATTCGACAGCTGCTCCTTGGAAACCCTAGGGGCAGTTCTATTCTGTCCTATAGGGTCGCTATTAGTCAAAATCAACTCGATGGCAACAGGTTTTTTTTTTTTTTAATGTCTGTGGTTATAATCCCATTTGGGATTGGGTTGTCTTTGTTATGTTAATGAAGCACGGTTAGTGTAGGGTGTATTTTGAGTCAATCTCTTTTGAAATATAAAAAGAGATTAAAGAAGCGAGCAGAGAGAGAGACATGGGGTAAAATAGATGCCTAGATACATGGAGATCTCCAAGGAACCAGGAAGCAGAAGCTGAAGACACAAGGACTTTCCTCCAGAGCTGACAGAGAGAAGATCCAGCACCCTGAATTTGGACTTCTAGCCTCCTAAACTGTGAGAAAATAAATTTCTGTTCATTAAAGCCATCCACTTGTGGTATTTCTGTTATAGCAGCACTAAGAAACTAAGACAGTGACCCTGTTTGGAAATAGGGTCTTTGAAAATGTTGTTAGTTAAATTAACATGAGGTCATACAAAGTTCTGGTGGTGCAGTGGTTAAGTGCTCAGTTGCAAACCAAAAGGTTGGCAGTTCAAACCCACCAGTTGCTCTGTGGGAGAAAGATGTGGCAGTCTGCTTCCGTGAATATTTATAGCCTTGGAAACCCTATAGCGTCGCTGAGTCAGAATCAAGTCCACGGCAGTGGGTTTGTATTTTTTTTTTTTTTTTGGTGTACATAAGTAGGGTAGGTCCTAATCCAATATGAGTGGTGTCCTGATAAAAGAGAAGACAGACAGCGGGAAAAGGGCCCCGTGACAACAAAGTTATACCACATCTACAAGCCAAGGAAAGCCTGGGGTGGCTAGAAGCTGAGAAAAAACAGAAAGGATTATCCCCTAGAGCCTTTGGAGACAGCATGGCCCTGCTGGACATCCTGCATTCAAACTACTAGCCTCCAGAACTGTGAGACATACAATTCTGTTGTTTCAAGCCACCCACGTGGTGGTAATTTGTCGAGGCAGCCCTAGGGAAACTAAGACGGGCTGAGTGCTTTTCTACTTCCTCCTCTGACTCTGGGCAACTTGGACTTCTCTATAACATGGAGGGAAACTAGCTTCGACTCAGGAATCTGGGAGCAAGGAAAGATCCTAAGATAGCTTTGATTCTTCATTTGAATAATGGGAAATTACTTGCAACTTATCTTTACTCTGAATTTACTGAGTTTAAAGTAGGAAAAATTTCACATTTCCACCATAAAGATCTATTTCAAAACGAAAGAATAACCAAATGACCACAAAGAAAAAGAATCAACATTTAAAAGATTGACCTACTTTTCTACAAAACAACAACAAAGACAAAGGAATAATCCCCCAGGAGAGAGACCAACCCTTGTATATGTATGCGTATGTGTGTGTGTATGTGTGTTTGTACGTGTGTGTGACTAAGGAAAAAAGTAAGAGGAAATAAAGAAAAGAACTAGCTAAAAATTCGAAAAATGCCACGAAGCCTCAACTATTCAATCCTCATTCAAATGGAATTCACAAAACTTTAGACTCTGTCAATATCAGTTAATAACAAAAGAAAAAAAATTGGTAGTGGGGAAGTGCATTTTTCTAACAAAAAAGCAAACTATGTTCAAGTTAAAAATCACTTAGTAGCACAATTTGCATATGCAAACATCAGCCAATGAAAACTCCATGGATCTGATCCAAAACTGAGCATGAGGATGGCACAGGACTGGGCATTGTTTCATTCCATTGTGCATGAGGTCACCATGAGCCGGGGTCAGGGGCCAACTGGATGGCAATCAACACCAACGATAATATTGTTACAGAACTAATTATATCTGTTTATTATAGGAGATCCAGCTGAAAATTACTGGTAGGAAGATGTTTATTGATTAGTTCTTTGTAAGTACAAAAAGAAAGCAAAAGATGATTACAAATGTTTCCAAAAGTGAGACTAATTTTCCCTAAATATTTTGAATTAGTGAGGCTTTATACTATTATTGCCTTACTTCTTGTTTCTGAGGTAAGTCAAAGTTGGTATAATCACTATTTTTTTACATGTATGTTTGAAGAACCATCAGACATGAGACATACAGAATCAAAATTTATATATTTCCCATTAGAATTAATATTGCAAGGAATTAGCTTTAGAGATTCAATACTGAAACAATTCTGGACTCAAGTTTGCTTACCTATAAAATGGAGACAATAATAATATTTACCTCACGGGATCACTGTGAGGTTTAAATTCAGTAAACCAGTTAAATGGCTTAGAATAGTGTCTGGCTATTAGTAACTGTTGTTACTACTATTATTATTTTGTTCAGAATCATTTTTATGCCAATGGATAGACTCTTGCAATTTAAACGTAAAAAATGTAACAATGTAAACTAAATCATGTTTTCTCAACCATTGATGGGCTCTTCATGCCAAGAGGAGCCCTGGTGGCTCAGTGGTTAAAGCACTCAGCTGCTAACTGAAAGGTCGGAGGTTTGAACCCACTAGCTGCTCCTTGGGAGAAAATGTGGCAGTCTGTTTTCTTAAAGATTACAGCCTTGGAGACCCCATGGGGCAGTTCTACTCTGTCCTGTACTGTTGATATGAGTTAGAATGGACTCAATGGCAATGGGTTTGGTTTTTTGGTTTAATGATAAAAGAGGAGTCCCAGGGAGGTACAAATGGTTAAGCACTCTGCTACTAACTAAAAGTTGGAGGCTGAAGTCTACCCAGAGGTGCCTCAGAAGACAGGCCTGGTGATCTCCTTCTGAGAGATCTCAGTCATTGAATACACTATGGCGCAAAGTTCTACTCTGAAACACATGGGATTGGTAAAAGTCGGAATCAACTGGATGGCAACTGGTTTTTGGTTTGATGTTAAAAGAGCTCAGGTAAAATGCAGTGTAGGCCCTGTAGTACGTATGATTGACTGGCCAGTCTTCTTGAGCACCGAACGATCAGGAACTCCCTGCCATTGGGTGGCCAACAAGAAGATGGTGATTTTGTAATACTCTGTAGATCACCTCTGGCATAAATAAATACATGAAAATTGTAAGATTTTTCCAAACATACTGTCAAGGTATTTGAAGCTAATTATTTATATAGAGAAATACTGTAACATCTTCATCTCAGGATTTATTAAAGGGATAACTCAAATGATTACTATTCTATGACATACTCTCCTCTACTGAATTTACATGTTTTCCTTTGTCTCATAGATTATGTGATATCCTGAAAATTTAGATTTGGGTAGCACTTGACTACTAGCTGAAACGTTGGTGGTTCAAACCCACCCAGAGGCGCCCTGGAAGACAGACCTGGCAATCTGCTTCTGAAAAGTCAGCCTTAAAAACCCGATGGAACGGTTCTACTCTGCACACATGGGGTCACCATGAGTCGGAATCGATTCCATGGCAACTAACTAATTAATGTAAATTATACACCAGCCTGCTCTGAAGAATCTGAGAGAGAAGCATTGGGATTGCAAAAGCATTGAAGCAGTGGTAGTTTTTTTGGTAAGATGAATCTGATAAAGAAAAGTTTATCATGTCTCATTACAAAAATGGCTTCACCTATTAAAAGCGCGCAGCTACAAATAATAAATGCTATACCTTCTTTTCCCCTCAACTACAGGAGAGGTGCCTGAGCGCTTTATGGAAATGGTATTTTTGATGGTTCATATAATGTGAAAAGATTACCTGTCCCAGTGATCTCCAGTCTAAACTGGCACTGCCGATGTACACGTGCTGTTTATCAACAATCCAGAAGGAGGACTGGAGCCGGCCCTTGTTGTAGGCAGTCATGTTCATGTACGTCACTTCAGCTCCTAGGGGTTCAAGGAAATCCCAGTCAACCTCTGTTTCAAAGCTCAGAACTTGTCATTAGTCATCCAGCAGAAATACTCATAGCTTCTTATTCATTACATTTGGCATTTAGGAAGAGCCAAATATTTACACTAGTTTGGTGCACAGAAGGCCCTTAAAGAGTCATTTTGTTCCCAGAAAAAATAGAAAAGAACAAAAATGTGTATACAGAGGTGGCTTTGTACACAGTGACAAGAGTACAGCTTCTCAAGTCAAATCTGTGTTTTAGTCATGGCTCCATCGCTTGCTAACTGGATGGCCAGGTAGACGCACCACATAGTTGTTGTTAGTTGCCGTTGAGTCGATTCCGACTCATGGCGACTCCATATGTAGAAATGAGTAGAAATATGCTCCATAGAGTTTCAAGGCTGTGATCTTTCAGAGCAGATAGGCACGACTGTCTTCTGAGGCATCTCTGGGTTGGTTTGAACCACCAACCTTTGGGCTAGTAGTCCAGTACTTAACCGTTTGTGCCACCCAGGGACCCATGCTTTTTGTTTTTCTAATTGTGGAATATTTTAATACAAATTTACGATAAATGATAGGATCAGTCTTGTTTAGTACTACAACTTTCCTCAATAAGACAATGGCCTTCTTAATCTTTCTATACATTTTTTTCATCCCTTTACCTTTTCAGTGGAGTCCCTTGGTGGTACAAACAGTTAACACATTCAGCTGCTAACTGGAAAAACAGAGGTTTCAGTCCACCCAGAGGCACTTCAGAAGAAAGGCCTGGAGATCTACTTCCAAAAAATCAGTCATTGAAAACCTTATGGAACATAGTTCTACTCTGACACACATGGGATCACCACGAGTCAGAATCGACTCAATGGCAACTGGTTTGCCCTTTCATTTGCCTTTACTTTACGTTCCTTCTTTGCTATTTATTTTGGTTTTGATCTCTTCCTGGCCTTTGTTTATCTGACAGTTCTTCACTTAAGCATGAAGAATTTAAGCATGTGGAGCCCTGGTGGCGCAGTGGTTAAGCCTTTGGCTGCTAACCAAAAGGCTGGCAGTTCAAATTCATCAGCTGCTCCTTGGAAACCCTATGGTGCAGTTCTACTCTGTCCTATAGGGTTGCTATGAGTTGGAATCAACTCGATGGCAACAAGTTTTTTTTTTTTTTTTTGGTTATTCAAACTTTATAGAAATGCATCCTTGAATGGTTCAGTAGGTTACTCAGACTCTATGTAGTTAAAACCAAAACCACATTTTAAGAACTGAATTTGGCCAGTTGTTTTAAGTACGCTGTAGCAGAGACCACTGTCAAGCTTTTATATATTGCTGCCTCTGGATTATGCACATAAAACTTCTAAAAGGAGCATATAGTCCATTCAATACAAAGCCATTTAAATATATTTCTGTTAAAGGTCTATTCTCTTTAAAAGGACAGATTTCCATGCATATGTTTAAGATGCTAAGACATCTTGGTCTTCAGGGTGATGGGGACAAAGCCGGTTCTGCAATATTAATGAAGATGATGTCTTCCAATGACACACTTTATTGTCAGAATCTTCATTACCCACGGAATAAATAATGTTTTATGCATAAGGATTAACCAGTTGCTGTCAAGTCAACTCCGACTCTAGGTGATCCCATGTGTGTTCTATAACTGTGCTTATAGGGTTTTCAGTGGCTGATTTTTCAGAAGTAGATCACCAGGACCTTCTTCAGAGGCATCTTTTGGTGGACTTGAACATCCAAACTTTCAGTTAGCAGCTGAGCACATTATCCATTTGCACTACCCAGGGACTCTTTTTTTATACACAGGATACACTGCAAAATATCATCAAGCAGGAAGAGTGATTTAAACTCTGAACTAAACATTTAATGCTTGGGAAAGTGTAAACTATGCATCTGAACTCCTTGAGACGTTGAGGGGGGAGTGTTGAAAAGAAAGGATATGGGGTTTGAGGAGGATCCGAGGGGGAGGGAGCATCCAGACAGATTTTCTCTGAGATGAAGCAGGTTCTTTATTCTAGAACACAGGGCACATGATTCTCAGCCTCCAGCCATCCTGGCCCCAAGGAATAGGTACAAACCCCAGAGGAGGAACAGTTGGGTAGAGCAGTGTCTGAATGTCCAATGTGTAGAGTTTCCATGGCAATTATGGAGAGCCCCAAATCTGCACAGAGGGTGTGATATCCGCAGAGACAGCTGCCAGCGCTCTTAATGGAAGAAGTGCAGCATTTGTCCTTGGAGAATCAGGCTGCTTTGACTAGCCATGCCCTTTAATAGCACTAAATTGGCCAGCTCTAAAGGAAGGATCTTCTCTTCTTTCTGGAAGGAGTAGAACAGAGGTGTCTTTCGTGCTTGTCTCAGATTCCACCTTCAACATGTGCCTCCAGCGAAGCTTTGACTTGCCCCCTTATTCTGCCCAGAAAACATGTTTAACCCTCTGTAACATTGGCTGGCCCTCACATCCTGGCCTGGGACACTGTGCCTGAAACTTGAACCCATGGCCAGGTGCAACCATGCATCAGACTATTTATTAGTTCTAGATGTCCCATTCTGTTCTCGCCCAGGTCCACTGCGACCACACCCATTGGCCCACCTGAGGCACAGCACTGAGCCTGCCTAAAGGGCAGACCACGACTGCCCTTGTGACCTTTCCACCACACACTACATATGTGAAAAGTACTACGTTTCTTTACTTGGAGTTTAGACTAAGGAGCATGACGCTGGAGACCACAGACTGCCCTTCTCCTCCAGCCAGAGCCTCTGAAGCTACTTGTTGATCCTGTAACCATTTTAGAAAGGAATAATGGCTTCCCTTCAGTCAGCCTTCACCAAAGAGCTAATATATTCCAGATGCTGTGCTGTGTGAAATTGGAGGTAAAATACCTAAAGTGATTAAAATTCAGGTACACTAAACTGTACCTGACCACCTGTCTGTCAATTTGTCGTACTGTGGTGGCTTGTGTGTTGCTATGATGTTGGAACCTATGTCACCAGTATTTCAAATACAAACAGGGTCACTCATGGTGGATAGGTTTCAGTTGAGCTTCCAGACTAAGGCAAAATAGGAACAAACGCCTGGAGATCTACTGAAAATTGATGAATGGATCACAACAGAACACTGTCTGATACAGTGCTGGAAGATGAGTCCCTAGGTTCAAAGGCACTCAAAATACACAGTGGCCTCAACAGTAGACTTATGCATTCCAGTGATTGTGAAGACGGAGCAGGATTGGGCAATGTTCCATTCTGTTGTACATGGGGTTGCCATGAGCTGGAGTTGACTCGATGGCAACTAACAACATACTAACGTGTAACATTTAAAATGCTCAAGATGTGCTTCATTCCTGATTGAAGACAGAGAGGGGTGCAAACAGCAGGATAGCACCGAGTATCTCAAAGATCAAGAAGGGGGAAGTCCCCATTGCTGTATCAAGGAATCCAAAGCAAAGGCTGGCAGCATGAAAAACAGTGAATGGTTTCAAGTTCTGCCTGGGGCCAGAGCTAACTGCACAAAAGCCAGCAAAGCTATGTGTAGAGATAACGCAAGATATAACCACAGTCACTCCATTTACTGAATGCCTGTGTGGCTAGAGCCAAGACAGCTATTATAACAATTCCACATAGTATGTATAAATTTGGTCTACATCAGTGTATGATAAATAATATACATTATTTAAGAAAATCAACTGAAAATATTTGATGATACAGCTGGAAAAATATTTTTCTGCGTATGGTTTATGGAATATCATTCTCCCATTAAGAATTATCTACTTGGCTATCTCTGTCTATCCTCTATCTATCTTTGAAGACATACTCTTTTGTCTTAATTTATACTTGGATAGATAGACATTTAATCATATCCAACATATCCCTCAGTTTGTTATAATAGTCAATATTTTACTTAAGAGAATGCATATTTTCATAATATCTTTGTTGATTGGTTATAGAAATTATCCTCATCCTGATTTAAAAAAAAATATGTACTGGAAAGAGATGGTTACAATTCCATGTTTTCTAACTATAAAATACACTTAATTATGAAAAGTCTTTAGTGTCTACTTATTGCAATAGTAGTACGCACACTAAATTTGCATTTATTTCATAGTATTGCGCTAGAATTTTAATTGTCAAAGATGGTCACATACATTTACATGACGTTGTTCCTTTAAATATTATGTTGCTGTTGTTAGGTGCTGTTGAGTCGGTTCTGACCCCTAGCAACCCTATGTAGACATAAGAATATAGAGTATCTTTAAAAAGCTGGCTTGATTCATATAGATACATTTATCTCAGAGCTTTAAAATTTTATTAGGTAAGTCTGATTAACCACTTATCATATTCACAAATTTCATTTTTAACAGGTAAAAATATTGCCTCAGCCTCTCCACTTACGGCTCATGTCATTGATGGAAGCTACACCACAGTGACTCATGAGGATGGCTGCTAATGGCTATGCACAGTTGTTGGTTGGATGGTGGATCTAGATTTCTGCAGATCCTCCCGTTTTCAGCCTGATTGTTTGCTTAACTGATGGTTAATAGGAGTTGTTGTTGTTAGGTATTGTTGAGTTGATTTTTCCACTCACAGCAACCTCATGTGACAGAGTAGAACTGCCCAATAGGATTTTCTTGGCTGCAATTTTTATGGAGAAAATATCAAAATTGTCAAGGATTTCATTTTACTCAGGTCCACAATCAACACCCACGGAAGCAGAAGTCAGGAAATCAAACTACGTATTGCATTGAGCAAATCTGCTGCAGAAGACTTCTTTAAAGTGTTAAAAAGCAAAGATGTCACTTTGAGGAATTAGGTATGCCTGACCCAAGCCCTGGAAAGCCTGGTGGAGTAGTGGCTAAGTGCTATGACTGCTAACCAAAAGGTTGGCAGTTTGAATCCACTAGGCGCTCCTTGGAAATTCTATGGGGCAATTCTACTCTGTCCTAAAGGGTCACTATGAATCAGAATTGACTCAACAGCAGCGGGTTTGGTTTTGGACCCAAGC